TACTTGAACCGTTAGCTATAAAGCTAGTTACGAACTTGAAATTAGAATATAAACTATGTTGTGAAAATTCTTACAAATAATTAAAGTTATGTTTATAGAATTAGTTTCGACCAGTTTTATACATAATTTTACATCGTTGTTATTTAGTACATAAATTTACAAGTTGTTTTACAGACCGTTATTTTTTAGGTTTGCCATACTCAATATAAGTAAAGAAACAAGAATTGTTTACCGCAACTAAGATAAAAGACTGTTGACCAGCTAGTTCGCAACAAATGTTCAGAAGACTTTGTAATTAATCTGAACCATTCTGACCAATGTCTCAAACAGTCAAGAACATAAGATTAAATAAAAAAACCTCTAATAGCCCTGAGTTTTATCTACAAATTCAAGTGACGAATATGAACGTCTGTTTGTTTGTTTGTAATTATGCACAAAGCTACACAAGGGCTATCTGTGCTCTGCCCACCACGGGTATCGAAACCCGGTTTTTAGCGTTGTAAGTCCGCAGACATACCGCTGTGCCACTGGGGGGCTGCACGTATGTAAATCATACTAAAATTAATTATTCCCTAACTGCTCACTGCTTAAACTGCAATGCGTCGTAAAGTTTTTCCATAGTTCACCTGACACATATTTAAAACATGAACCATAAATTACTTATGTATGTAATTGTTTGTTTATAGTTAAACATGAAGCTAGCTACCCAATGGGCTATCTATGCTATGAACCATGGGGATCGTTTGTTTGTTTTTTGAACTTCGTGCAAAGCTACACGAGGGTTATTTGCGCTAGCGGTCCCTAATTTAGCAGTGTAAGAGTGGAGGGAAGGCAGTTAGTCATCACCACCCACCGCCAACTCTTGGGCTACTCTTTTACCAACGAATAGTGGGATTGACCGTCACATAATAACGCCCCCACGGCTGAAAGGCGAGAATGTTTGGTGGGACGGAGATTCGAACCCGCGACCCTCAGATTGCGAGTCGAGCGTTCTAACCGGCTGGCCATGCCAGGCACCGATGGCAATCGAAACCTAATTTTGAACGTTATACGTCTTACCGCTGAGCCATTGGGGATGGGGGGCGCTGATTAAGCAGATACATAGCCAATTATCAAAACTTCAAATAGTTTACCACAATCCAGTAACTAGGAAATAAAAATTTTACACTTACCAAGTATAAAAACATCCTAAAATTATATTATAAATCACAAAATAAATAAATAAATTTTAATAAAATGTAAAAAATCTTATTTTTTCATAATATTCTTACTATATTGGACGTAGCGCGTATAAATGTATATTTCTATGTATGTGACCGAAATAATAAATACAATGTGGGGCCATGTATTGAATGGCACCACAAACAAAACTTCACAAAAACTTTCACGCTTTGGGAATTCAATATTCAGACAGAAATATAACTACGGTATGTATAACAACCATTTCTTTATCACAGAACACAATTTTAAATAAAAGTACTCTCTTCACAACAAGAACACGACTTTCACTAGGAATGTACACGAGGGTTTGATTATATCTTTATTGATGTAATTTGTAAATATAGTACTAAAAAATAGAGTTCTTAAAAAACTGTTATTTTTTTCAATACAGGGCAACACTTTTAATATACAAAAACATTACAGTTTATATCAGCACAATTCGAACACTTTTCCCGGAAAACCCCCTTTTTACAAAATGTTCACTTTTTCTAAATTTTATTATAAGGTATGAATACTAAGATTAGTAATTTCTAGCACAAACAGCCGCCAGTAGGGGGCGATACTGCTAGTACAAATAAAGATAATTCTAGAGCAAAATATATTTGATAATGTTTTAAATAAAGCTATATCCTGATCTACATTTTACTTCCTGTTATATGCTGTCCAATACCTAAATTAATTGTAATGGTATTCAAACATCTAAAATATTTAGGTTATTAGTGGTGAGTACAGATCAAAACCAAACACGGAGTCTGGAAAATAGATCAGATGACCAACAACATTGGTCTGCCTCAAGGATAACCACACTCGCCTGTCCTCTTGAACATCTACATCATAGATCTAGACCGTCTTGACAGTCCAATCAGATGCTAATGGCTAAATTTGCTGACCACATTGCAGCATAAAGGAGAAGTTATAAAAGAGCCGAAATCGAAAGCACGATGTAACGAGGATGATCGAATGGTGTACTGATGCAGGAATGGTCATCAATCTTGCCAAAGCTACTCCATATTTTTTCACACTCAACAACAGACATCTGATGAAGCCAAGCAATCACCATCCTTTGCAGACTCTGCTATCCATCTGGAAGAAACACTGAAATACCTGATGGGCAACTTTTGTCAGATAATTCAACACGATATATATTAAACAGAGTTAAAAAAAAACGTTTTACATTGAAAGTCAAGTCACAAAATAGAGCTGGAATAGCGTCACCTGCTTATGCTCTATTTGATTCTCACGTGCTCTATTTTGAATTACTCTACCAATGATCAGTGTGAGTGCTACACATCTAGATAAGATTGAAAGGATACAAAACAGGTTTAAGGTTGGTCACATTATACAGTATCACAGAACACCAGTGTATTACAAGCACAATTTTCACTAGGACCGTGCAGTATAAAGACCTTGTATTCTATCATTGAGTAGCTGCCATTTTCAGCTAGGTCATTATAGATCCACAACGCCCTTGAAGACATTAGCCAAGTAAGGGATTGCCTAAAAGCTGCCTCAAGAGACAGTCATAGATGGATAATGGCTATACAATCGTCAGTGAAATAATTCGCCACTAACAGACCTCAGATTTTCACATGTTAAATTTGCATCTGATGCCTCTGGAGCTTGTGGAAATCAGAATAAATAGAAAATGTAGAGACTATGCAGAGGGTGAAGCAGAAAAAGACTGTTAACACGTATTTAAAGGTCATGGTGAACAATCGTCTGTCATCATAGATATAGATTGTTCTTATTCTCAATATAGAAATATAGTTGGTTAGGCATTCATGGTTTTCCAGGGCAAAAAGGATGAAACTGTGAACCATAAATCAATCTCTTCTCTAGACTGCTGAAAGCATTGAACCACAAATTGACAGTGCCACCAATGTAATATTTGTGTCTGACTCACAAGCAGTAGTGCATACAATTCAGAACGATTAGTCTCTTGATGGACGGTAAAAACAAAGCAGTGCATATTAAGACCATCATCTGGATGTATGTGACAAGCCACAAAGTGAAAAACTAAATAACAAGCTCACACGAGAAGTCCTTTTTTCAAATTCAACACAACCCCATCTGGATGTATGTGACAAGCCACAAAGTAAAAACTAAATAACAAGCTCACACGAGAAGTCCTTTTCTCAAATTCAGCACAACTCCATTGGTAGGATGTCGATCTCCTTTACAATTACGGAAAAACAGTAGGTCTTCATCGACAATCAAAATACGTGAGACTGCTGGAAAACAAAGTGTCATGTGGTGTATTTAGGAAATACACAAGAGAAGGAATCGATAAGACAGTGCACAACCAGAAATACACTGGTGACATCAACAAAGGAACTCTCTTCCTCTCTTTTATGTATTCAGTACTTTAAGTTATTGATTAGAAGATATTTGAAGAAACATTTTCACCACCGAAATTAATATTGTTCAAACATAGCATACGTTTTAATTTGTTGAGAATGTCAATTGAATTTGTAGTGCAAGCCACCAAACTGCATGCCTTCAGATAGTAATATAGTGCGATAAATATACTACTAGTACTATTAGTATATTAAATCATACTTGCCATAAAACAATATTATCAGGCTTATTGTATTTTTAAACACTACATTCTATATTTGGTTTCTTAGGTTTTTCCTAGAAAAAAAGTATATAGCAGTGTTTCAGCCAAATATTTTCTTTCACATCCATTGCCGACGACGCTTTTAGCTTAATAATACCAGAGGACACCAGATCGGCTGAGATACAATAAATTCATAATGTAATTGTAATACTACAATACACTCTTCTGGAAAAAAAAAACCTAAGGGACTGAGTAAAAATGTAATATTAAAATCACTAAGCCTAATATTACTTTCTAATGACAAATATAATTTATTACAATGATGATTTGCCAACAAAATACTTTCATACCATAGCAAGTATTGGTATTGTTATAAGCTTTTTTTTTAATAGTGTAACTTAAATGTTGGAGAGTGGATGACATTAATCACGAAATTTACTAACGTAGGCCTAAAAAGTGTAAAAATGTTGGCGTCAGATATTCTAGTAAATTCGGAAGAATATATTATAAATACAAATGACAATAAATCATTGAGATAGAGCTGTTTCTGGTCAGTAGAGTGAATTAATCAGAGTGTTTTATTTAAGCTACAGGTGAATCAGTCAGTGTTTTTGTGTGTGTTGAACTAGATATCAATCAAACAACCACAAACCAATTTTTAGCTAGGCACTTTATACTGATATTTATCATCACGAGCTCCTTCTAAGCCTCAGAGTCTTCTACATCAAAAATGTAAAAAAATTAGACTTAAAAAATGGTAGAAATAAACTCGAAGCAGTTATTTTTTGTACACAAAATAAACTTTGAAGTTTGATGGTCATTATAGTATGTAAAACAATATACGTGCTCCTCCGAAGTTTAAACTTGTAGAAGCGTTAAAAGAAGAAATAAACTAATTTGTTATCGATAAGTGGAATAATTTTTAGGAGATCATTTAATTTAAAGAACCCGCCAGTGATAGAACAACATAACAACAGTATATTGTTCTGCATACGTATTTAAAAATATTATAACATGGGCATTTCGTTCTGTTAATATAAATTATTGAATGCTAGTTTGTTATTAATAAGTTAGCGAGGACGTTTATTATTTTATATAATACACTGACCATCAAAGCTTGTGTACAAAAAATAACTGCTTCGAGTTTATTGCTACCATTTTTTTTATCTAAACTTTTTATTTTTTTCGTATAGAGGACTCTGAGGTTTAGAAGGAGCTCGTGATTATAAATATCAGTAAAAACTGCCTAGCTAAAACTAGAGAAGTTTCGTGGTTGTGAGTTTGATGTCGAGCTTAAATTGTAAGTAAATTCTTCGTTAATGTGTAGAATACACTTACGTTTGTGTTGTTGCATTTCGTTTCCCTGATTATGCAAATATTTATATTATTTAGTAAAATCATTGGAACAGTTGTTACTGAATGATTTCGATGTGAACTTTATTATGTTATTAATATTACTAATACTAATAATATTAGTAATAGTACTACTACTAAACTACTAGTAATTAGTATTTATACTAATTATATTTATAGTAATAATAATAATATTAATGTAATATTTCTATTAAACTTTTAAAGAGAATGTATACTACTTTACAGTTTACTAATACATATGTAATACTAATAACTGTAAATTGTAATAAAATTAGTACAGTAAGTCGCACATAATGCAACTTTAGTTAAATTTGATGTTTAATCATTTACAAATTGTAAATGTAATGGGTGCTCAATCTTGGTGTATTGTGCTTGGTATTATTACTAGTTGAAGGAGGCCACAAATGACTGTCTGTTTGTGTTTGCAAGAAATTACTTGTGTTCCAAACCAGTGGCAAAGATAAATATTCATAATAAACTGAACTTTGGGAAAATGAGGTTTTTAAAGTGAAATGAACAATTGTTGTACTTATATCTTTAAAATAGAAACAAGTGTGCAGCAGTCTTATGATAAATAGGATGTTCGGAAAACCTGTCCTGACTAGAACTTGAACCCAGGGCTCCATCCAGACTGTTACAGTATCCCCTCACTTTAAACATATTAACCTTTGAAGTTGTATGTCAAAGATCCTCAGGACATCAAGACATAACACATAGTGAATACCCTCCAGCTAACAACACAATCATATACAACACTAGTACCTAGGCTAACTGCTTGTTGAAGCATCTACAGTTGGTAGATGGTTTTAATATACTGTCTTCTTATTCAAATGAAATACATTTTCAGGTAAGGAAAGTATTAAACTTCTTATAGTTGTATATCTGCCCATTTTTTATAGTCCAATGAATCTTATTAAGTTTACTGTTTGTAGATTTTGATGTATTCTTTCTGGTGGTGTTGGTGAATTACTTAGATTATAATGGATATTTTGATCTACATTACACTAGCAGTTAGAGGATCTAGCTTGCCAAATTACCACTTTCAGGAAGTTAGAAAGAGTACTATTAGGGCTAAAAGTAGTGAATTTAGTTATAATGAGCCTATTCTGTTGAAAAACAAATTTTAGCCCTTGGGTTCTGCAGATGAAGAACTATTGGAGGAAAGGAAAACAAGAGGGTCAGAGAAGGATGCGGATGATAAGGAGGTTATAGTTATAGGTGATTCCTTGACAAGGCATGTGGATAGGATAGTCTGTGGAATAAATAGGGAGAAAAAATCAGATTATGCTACCAAGGGACACAGGTGCGGGATATAACTGACAGAGCAAGAGATATCATAAAGGGGGCTATCAGAGATGCAGTTTCTGTGGGGCATAGAGGGGCTAATGATGTAGGGAAAAAGGCCATAACTTAATTTTGTTAGGAATATAGCCCAGAATTAACTGTGGGGATGAAGTTATAAGTAGGTCACTAGGGCTAAATGCTAGGCTTATGTTAGTACGTAAGGATGAGCAGATTGGCAGGTTGGATTTGTGGGATCAGTTCAGTGGAAGAAGTGAGCTTTTTGGAATGGATAGTTCACATTTAAATAGGATAGGGGCTGGTGTGTTTGCTAAGGCTATTAACTCAGTTGTACGAAAAATTTTGAACAAGGACTAGACTGTAGACAGTGATGAGGGTCAGGAAAAACTAAATGCAAAAAGAATAAGAGTAGCATAGGAAATGAGTATATGAGTAGTTATAAGGATAGGTTTAATTGCTACTGTTGTAATGTTAAAAGTATAAGAAATAAAATAGATGACTTTAGAGCACTGGTAGGAATGGAGGATTTTGATATAATGGGAATAACTGAGACATGGTTAAATGTAAACAATTTTTATGACAGAAATTTCTTTGAAATACAGGGTTACAGACTATTTAATAGGGAGAGAGTAGTAAAGAGGGGTAGGAGTGACTTTATGTGTAAAATGTGAGTTGCATCCTGTTGAAGTTAAGAGTATCAAAGATATTGAATCCATTTGGGTTTCTATTAGTGGATATAAATGGAAAAGGCTTTTAATGGAAATTTGTTACAGACTGCCAGATGATACTGATGAAATTAGTTAATGAAGTCATAATTATTGATAGTTTTAATTTCAGGTGTATAGATTGGGAAATTCTAGAGTCAAACCATGAGGGAGAAAGGTTTTTGGAAACTGTTCAAGATGGCTTTCTTCACCAGTTAGTCATGGAACCAACTAGAAACAATGCTATTTTAGATTTATTGTTAACTACAAGTACAGAAATGATCAAGAGGGTAAAAATTGGGGAACATCTGGGTGCAAGTGATCATTGCTTTATTAGGTTCAATGTTTTGCTGCATATGGAGATAAGGAATGATGTTATTTTGGTTACAAATTTCAAAAAAGCAAATTTTGAAGGGATGTGACAAGAATTTTGGCAAGGTAGGAGTCCTCTTCAGCTAAGACAGTTTCATTTTTCTAACAGGGTGGTTGGCCTTTGGAATGAGTTGCCTTCAGATGTTGTAGAGGCAGTAAATTTGAGTTTAAGAAAAAGCTTTATAAGTATAGGAATGATAAGATAAGGGCTGGCTTTAAAATGTTTATTATTTTAATTTAGAGTAGAGGATGGAACAGTCGAGATGGGCCAATGGGTCCCATGTTGTCCAAAAAAAAAAAGTTAATCTGTATTCCTCCCTCCTCTCCCCTCGATAAACATCAGAATTTCCAACTTTTGCATTTTGAAACTTAGTATCTGTAAAATCTTGTGTCTGTAAACTCATTTGAAGTTGGGGAAAAAAAGTCGAAATTAAAGGTACACACTTCCTTCTTCAGTAAATAACTACATCACACGTCTTTGTAGCTAGGACCTTTACTCTTCTAGTCAATGTGATGCATTTCTTACTTTATCCAGAAAGAAAGACTGAACTGTATTATACATATAAAAATGAGTTGTGTATGTAATGCCACTAACATATAATTAAAAACTAAATAACCAACCTTTCTTGTGTAAAGTTCTTTTACCTGTTACAGCTAGTGCATGTTTTGTAACGTAGTTTGTGTTATTTACTCTAATATTTATGCTGAAGTAAATCATTACAGTTTAAATCTTTTAATTATTCTACTATTCCTCTTCTGTATTATCTTTGCAAGTTAAATATCCTCTCCAAAATAAGTAGATCAAAACTAAGTAGTGTATTAAAAAGGAAACCTAAATGTTTATAAAAGAACAAATGCTTTTTTCTATGGAAACCAAAATTTGTATAAAGGTGTTGCACCACCTTGTTTTTTCTTATCACAACCTAGATTTTAACTGCAGATTGTGTTCGTGAAGTGAAATTCATGGTCTGATTCTGCTTGTAGGTGATACTCAGAAACATTTGCTGAAACTTGTTGATATAGCACTGTCGCATAGCAAGACTTGTCATATAAGCAATATTCTTCACTTTATATATATAGACACGCGCATACAAATAACTGGAATTCTTCAACATATCTAATCATGAGACTTGTCACAAACTTTAAATTGCATCAGTTGTTTAGGTCACACATGATAAATGGTAGTGATAAAATTCCAATCTCTTGATATGGATTCAAATCTATTATCAAACAGTTAGAAAAGTTGAGGAAATCATACATTTACTTGTTACTTTTGGTTTGGGTTTGTTACAAATTTCTAAGTTAGTATATGCAGTCGCATATTAGAACTAAAGAATCTGTCTTTATCACTTGTCCATTAGTGAAAATAAATCACTTTTATTTTGTCCTAGACGAACATATAAATTAACTGAAGAAGGTCATGCTTCTTTTTTCCCAATTGCCAAAATGAATTTGCCATGAGACCTACACTGTAAGGAGCTGGCGAAATAAAAATTAAATGTACATTAAGTTCATGGAGAAGAATTTAAGTGATTTTAAGATATAGTTAACAAACTTTATATGGAGTTTGTAAGGACTATTTTTTTCTTATAAGCAGACATATTTTTAACTTGTTTGAAAAACAAAAACTGTGTCTCTTTGACTACAATGTGTATTATATGAATTTATAAATGTTATAAATTTATTAAGTTAGTGACAAAATAGATTATGTACATTCCTAGTTTTTACTGTTGATCTCAAATGCATATTACTCAAAGATTTCTGATTTCAACGAACCTCGAATTTTAAACCCTGAATGTTGAGAATATGAACTCTAATACTGAGTTAATTTTATAAATTTGTGTAAAATATGTCATTTAAGGTTTTTTCAGGCTTTTTCCAATGTAATTGACAGAGTTTTGGTCATTTCTTATTTATAATAATAATAAAATGTGTATGTAGAGCATTAATACAATAATTATTTCATTATTTAGAATCTTGGTAAAAATTAATGAGTGTAAGGTCTTCGCTCTGTTTTAGTAAGAAGTTCTGGTATAACAATACAAAACAATACATGTGTGCTGGAAACGTGTAGGTAGGATATGATGAGGAAGCATTTGGTAAAGAACTTTAATCCTCTAGTTTCAGGAAGTAAACTTTGCTTTACCATGTTTCAGGAAGTAAAATTTGTTTCATTACTTACGTTTCTAAGTTCGACTCCCAGACAGAGAAAATTGTATGACTATGATACAACCTTTCCTTATAAGATACAAAATGATTGTTGGTAATTGAATTGTATGTGTAAACCCTCAGTTGAAAGTTTGTTCTAAGCCTACATTTGTATGTGTACACACAAGGAACTTATAAATGCACATTTGCAGCCACCTGCTACAGTTTCATCTGTATTTATGTTAGATGATTCAGGAGAAAAGAAAATATTACTAGTTAACTTTCCATAGTTGTGTAGGTCTGTTAAAATTCCATGTAAGTGTGTAAAATTGTTCTTTTTTTTTCTTCAATTTATGCGATTGTGTATACAGATGGAACTTTTTATAAATGCCAGGTCAGTTCAATTATGTAAAATGTATCAACATTTTAAAATCCTACAGGTTATTTTAAAACTGATTATGTTATTTATTATAGTAGTAATTGCAAAATATGAAAATTTTTAATGATTCAACTGAACTTTATTAGAGCTAATATTATAAATGAATATAACTAATAAAGCATCTTAGCTTTATGAATAGTTTAAATATTCTTTCTCTCTTGCATATGTATAAATCACCATCATTTTACAGTCAAATCTTGCTGTTGTAGTTGAGTCATACGGGTTCTGTTAATCCAGCTTGTTTTGATATTACGTTGTCTCTTCCTTTTAATGGAAAAACTCACATTTTTAAGTGATCAAGTAGCATTATTAACTTCCTTGAAATAATGAGAATTTTTTTTAGTATTCATATGTATAAACTGTTCAATTATTTCAGATTGAGATGATAACTTACCAGCATGTGTATATGCGAGATCTTGTCAAACGTGTATGAAAAATGCAAAGAAAAGCACTGGATATATCCTGGAAAAGTCCTTCAACAATGCATGTAATGCATAAAAGGTATGATAAAGGCTTATAATTTAATTTTTGGTGTTAGTATAGTCACATTTAGTACAATAAATATAGCTAGTAACATTTGTAAAGCTATTAGAAAAATTGTGAAAAAAAAAAAACATTTAAATTTGTGTTTTGCATCCTGAATATTAGATTGTTTGAGTGACTAAATAGGTGTTTGTTGTCACATATAAACAGTTTTGTGTTAAAACCTAACTTGTATTAAGTGATGTTTAAAAAAAATCAAACTGTGCACGAATTACTTTAAATACTCAGTTAAGCTAAGCATGTTAAGCAGGATCTGACCTTTTAAAGTTCAAAGTATAATCACCTTGTTCATTGTAGCAAAATGTTTGTGATGTTTGGAAACCTTTTATTCTAACTTAATGCATATTGGATAAAATTTATATAATCTATGGACAACAAAGAATCAGTTGGTTCTTCAAGACTGTCCTTCTACATCCAGTTTTCAGAAAAGTAAATTTATACCCACTCTTAATGTTTCAGGAAATCACAGATTTTTAATTTGAAGCTCTTGTAAAGTGCTGTTTACATGTGTGGTAACTCATTCTTCCAGTCAGTCACACTGTTAGAAAATAAAACCAACTGGATCTTGTTTTTCCCAGATCTTAAACTTGTGTCCTTTCATGCCATTGTCTTCAGAATACTGCACAAAGAAATCGGATGGCCTTTGTCTTATTTATTCCCTGGATAATCTTGTAAACTTCAATAAGATCACCTCTTACCCCTTTTCTCAAGAGCAAACAAGTTAATAAGGACAAATTAAGATCTCTTAGTTATAAGATAATCCCAGTAATCTTCGTCTGAAATGATTCCAAAATTTGTGTTAGTAGATTTTTTATTTATTCATCTTTTTTTTTTGCCTTGTCTTCTTTACTTATCTAAGTTTTAATGCACGTATCATTGTTACATATAAATATACTTAACAAAACCTGTGACTCTTATTAATAAAACAGCCTTCTACTTTATAGCAACTTGGATGTAGTAGACATCAAGGGAGAAAGTCTGGTTTCTAAGTCACCTGGTCATGAAGAACTTCTGGTTTTCCAAGACAAAAAGGTAATTAAGTGGTAATGATGAATAAAAAATAATGTAATCTAAGAATAAAGAAGAATATCAATATGTCAATCACGCTACATAAGCCATTAGTGTTATATCCAGCAAGAAAAAAAGGGGGGCATGCACACTGCTTACTAATTTTAGGGCACGTGTCATACTTTATATGCATGCTTTTGAATATATCAAAGCAAATTTCATTATTTGTATAGATGTAAATGTATGTTTTTTTTCTAAGTAATAACAATAAACATTTACAACTTTATTTTGTTGTTGATTATTTTTTATTAATCAGCAAGTAATTACTCTGTCTGTCTGTGTCCATTGTGTTTCTCGTATTCCTACAGACAATTGTGGATTAATGTTATGACAAAGGCTCGGTCACTCTTTTCGTAACATCAGCTACATTAGAGTCAACATTAGTTGGTACAGTCAACATTAGTTGCTTCTTGCCAACCTCTAAAATTCTGGATAGAGGAACAGCGAACAAACGTTTTTTTTGAGGATGGCCTAGGTTTTATCTGATTGACCAAAATATATTTTACTCAATCTATGATAATTAGATTTATTCATATAGAGTTTACATAGCAGATTCGTTTTGTCTATCTTGTTGATGCAAATCGAGATAAAAAATGGTCTAAAAGAAACTTATTTATTTTGTTAAACACTAAAATGGTAGTAGCCATAAAAGATAGTTCATGGACAATCCTGCCAAAGCAAAACAGACACAAAAAAAATGTAAAAAAAATAATTATAAATTACATTGTTTTTCCTTTCAGAAAGGATTGTATGCAGTGGTTTGATTTGTCAATCTTAGCCCTCTCATTTTCAAGCTTCTTTAACTTCCATTTAACAGACAGCAGGACGCCTTACTAACACTTTTGAAACTAAGAAACAATACAATGTTGTCAAAGAGTATTTCTATGATTACAGCTAGCGTGTGCTTAGACGTCTTGCACTCAGCATGCTCTATTGCAGGTCGGGTAACCAGACGCTTCAGGGGATTTCACTTTTGACGTCTTTAGTTCCACTTTCACAACAAGTGAACACTTTCAAATTCATTTTGTAACCAGAAGGTGAGCTAAGGAAGTCAAAATGTTGTTACTTCCTTCAAGAGTTAAATAAAAGTTTTCTATACCCATATCAGCTGTTTATTCTATAGATATATAAACAACTTGTGCCTTACGGGTTACAATTAATGGATTAGAAAAGCAGCAGGGTGCAGCGATTGGTCAAAGGATAGGTAAGAAAAAAAGGCGGTGTGACGGCCTGCTCGGCTATCATGCTTTAGATATAACTAGACATATCCAGTGCCAACAAGTTCTTTTGCCCACTACTAGGGCTCATGTTAATTTATTTGAATTAACTTTTACTATCAGTCAGAATAACTGAAGAACAGGCAAGCTAAGATGAACTTGATATTATAAATTGTTGAATATCTGTAGCTTCCTTGAATTGTATCAATGTCAACAAGGATGAGGTGAACAAGAAAATACACATTTCCATATAAAATGAGATGCTATGGTGATAACGTAAGACGAATTTTAGCTTTTGCTCCAGTTACTGTTTTAAATCGGTAATAAAGAAATTAGGGAAACATAAGTAACTTACGGCAGCTCTCTGTTTTCATCATGCTTCTTTTAGCAGTGGTTTGATTTATGCATTTTCTGGACTAACTTATGTTGTCTTAGTTTTACTTTGTAGCAGACTTTATACATGAACATAAGCATCTTATTATTACACTTGCATACATCTGTATATTATGAAAATTTTGAACATTTGTCAACAGTTACTCTGGTGCTATTTCTTTATAATTTCTTTTAGTGTATTCAGAAAAGAAAAGAACTTAGCCATTTTATTATAAAGTAAAATTATTACAGAAAGAGGTTACCAGAAGAAAGAATTTAATTAAAGTTTTTACTCAGTGCATGTTATTTTAACTAACAGTGCTTATATTTATCACTTATTTTCAGCAAAAGTATTGTCAATTGAATAAATCTGTTTCTGTGGGTTAACTAGTTTTGTAAATTTTGTATTTTTAGATGTCCAATAAAAACAAGGTTCTTACATCTCTCACATCTGGAGCCTTTGCTGGAGCCCTTGCTAAGACAGTAATAGCTCCTCTAGATCGGACCAAAATTAACTTTCAAAGTAGGCATTAATTTATTATTTATGTAATTTACTCTTAAAGTGAGATGTTACAATCAGTCTTAACAATTTCCATATCATTCCACATTGGTATGGTGCTTTTTTCTGTAGAATTTTAACTTACTTAAATTTTGTTTGTTTCATGTCTCCATTCTCTGTATCCTAAGACTATTTAAGCACTATTTAATAATAATGGCAGAATTTCCTGTTGTTTATATGTATAAAAGTTTCGTCTTTAAATGTTTTTCACACTAAAAAGGGTACCCCCAGTGGCACAGTGGTATGTCTGCGGACTTACAACGCTAGAAACCGGGTTTCAATACCCGTGGTTTGCAGAGCACAGATAGCCCATTGTATAGCTTTGTGCTTAACTACAAACAAACTAACACTAAAAAGGATTTTAAAGCTCAAATATTTTTTCAGATCTTTCGGGTTTTACTCTCATTTTCTCAACAAATAAAAATAAAAAACTGCAGTAGTTTGGCTTTAGGGTAATAATTTTCAATTAAATATTTTTAATTTTTAGAATAATAAGTTTAAAAATGATGTTTCTCATTCATAATACTTTTTTTCATATCACGGGGTTGTTGTGAAACCAGTGTGGGTGTACTTGGATCAGTCTGTTGGGTGATTCAAGCAATGTGCATAGAAAGTATTCAGAAAAACAAAGATTGCCCGTAGGAGCTAACTCCTCCAAAATTACTATTGTTCTTCCCAAGCATAAAATATATATATTGTTTTTTTTAACCACTTATCGATGAGGACTATTTCTAGGTGTATGTTGATATAAAATACCATTTTTGTACAGTGCAGTTTGGAGAAGTTAAGGTTGACTTACTTTACATTATGATGGCCATTTAAGGAACTGTGTTTCTGTTTCTCCCCTTAAAACTCCACTTACAGTGAAATAATACTTGATACTACTGTAGTAGCTGTTCATTATTGCCATCATTTTCAGTCACTACATCAGTCCTGACAATGGAAATGAACAAAGCAAAATCTTGAAGAATTGACCCCCCCCCCTTCATCTTTAGGAAGCCCTGTAACCAATAAGCAACAAGTGGGAGGTCAGGAGAGAAGGATGTCACTTGCACCATGTACTTGTCTGTAGTAAGTTGTGCATCTTTGGGTTTATTAATCACATTTAGGCTTGTCTGAATTTGAGACCCAAAATCCATAAAAGTTAAAAGCCAAGATGAAAAGCTCGGACCTGGTAACGATCTCTCCATTGGGAATACTGTCCCTTTAACCTTTTGCATCTGGACCTGACTCTTGGTTACATTCAAAATATAATTAAACAATTTTGTTATCAATATGTGTCAATAAACTTGGCATGAACACATAGTATTTAAGTTTTAACTTCTTAATTTAAAAAAAACAACACATTTTTAAAAAGTTCCCATTTTTCATTTTTCTGTCATGTTACTCATCTGAGCTTTGATCTCTCACCAAGAATTTTCTTACATCAAAAATACAGTGCTGCAGTTTTCAACCAATTAGAAATACAAGCTGTGTATCATTACAAGCGAGAATCTAAACTTTTAAACTCCTATCGTCCTGAGACATCAATGGCAGACTCACATGTTTGTAACTAATGGAAAGAGCAGATTCTCTTCTACATAAATTTTACGAATTGCTATTTACGTTTTCTACTGTATACTGTTATTAATCAGAATTGCTTGGTTTGTGATGATCATGTTTATTTATGTTATCTAGTGATTGGTATATTTTTTGTGTTCGGTAGTGCACATTAGAAAGCTATACATTAATCCTTTTTATTTATTTTGACATCCAAATTTGTGAGATTTGGCAAGGATTGTAGAAGAACATTTAGTTGATTACAAACTGCTCCAGTAAGCAGCAAATACTACAAATAGTTGTGTGTGTGTGTATATATATATTATTCTTTGTTTAACAATAGTACCTAAAATGTAAGAATTGTAAACTTCTCAGCTTAACCTAACAAAACGATAGTAAAATAAAATGTCTAAAATTACACTAGCTTGACTGTATGTGACACCTCACAATCACATAAGCTCTATGGGAAAACTTCTAATGGCCTACTGTGATACATGCAGTAGTTGGTACAAAGTACAGCAGTAAAACAAGTAAATGAAAAATGTGAAAAGGTTAAGTTGAAGTTGTTAGGATGACTAATTTGGATCTTTTTTGATCGATACTACAGTCAGTTTGGAGAAATTAAAATGGTATTATTACTTTTATTTTGTATTTTTTTTTAGTAAAGATCATTAAATGTGGCTGAGTTTGTGAATAGGTGGTTATACTCCCTGTAGAGTAGATGACATAGTTTGAATTGATTATATACATCCAATAAAAAAAAAATTTTTTTTCAGTAATCTTTCAAAGTTAAATCCATATATGTATTAAACTTAATGCAAAGTATGATAAAAGAAAACATGAAATGTGAAAACTTAAGTTTTCAGTTGTCTTTTAATGTTAGAAATGTTAATAATAATATACTCAAACTTGTTTCTTATTCTTCAGATTGTATTTGTAGTGAAAAATGGAGGATTTTTTAGAAGCTAATTTTGATTAGAAAAAAATGCAGACAAAATTGTATACTATCTATTTTTGACAACAGGGTAGTAATAAAAACTGAATAATCTTGAATTTAATACTCTACTTGTGTACCATCTGATTTAATACTCCACTTGTGTATCATCTGTTTTAATACTCCACTTGTGTGCCGTCTGTTTTAATACTCCACTTGTGTGCCGTCTGATTTAATACTCCACCTGTGTACCGTCTGATTTAATACTCCACCTGTGTACCGTCTGATTTAATACTCCACCTGTGTACCGTCTGATTTAATACTCCACTTATACTTTTCCAGTTCACAACAAGAAGTTTTCATTCAGGGAGGCCATACACTTTTTGATACAAAGCTACCATGACCGTGGAATCTTAGTGTGGTGGCGGGGAAATTCTGCAACTATGGCCCGTGTTATACCTTATGCCTCTATTCAGTATGCAGCACATGAACAATGGAAACAAGTTTTACATGTGGACACTTTTTCAGAAAAGTATTATTATTTTTGTAAATAAGAATGGTACTATTTGCATAAAAATTCCATTTAAAACTTGAGATGCCTTTTAAGATTAATAAAATATTGTCAAACACTTTTAACCACCACTAAGTTCAAATGGTTTTTGTTTTATTGTGAGGCCCGGGATGGCCAGGTGGTTAGGGTGCTTGACTCGCGATCTGAGGGTCGTGGGTTCGAATCCCCATCCCACCAAACATGCTCACCCTTTCAGCCATGGGGCATTATAATGTGATGGTCAATCCCACTCTTCATTGGTAAAAGAGTAGCTCAAGAGTTGGCAATGGGTGGTGATGACTAGCTGCCTTCCCTCGAGTCTTACATTGCTAAATTAGGGATGGCTAGTGCAAATAACCCTTGTGTAGCTTTGTGCAAAATTCAAAACAAACAAACAAACAAATTTTTATTGTAATTACAGTTATTGTTTATATCATTCACTGAATGCCTTGTTTTGTTTTTGCTTTCTACTTTCTTGTTTCATTTCTTTTATCATAAAGTATGGAAATGAAGCTCGATAATATACGTCTTGAGAAACTGAAATTGCAATGTTTCCATTTACATGTGTGTGTGTACTAAATGAGCAGTTATGTCAAGATGGAATATAAAATTGTGCCACAGCTGTTTGCTGTATGTGATCCGAACCTTGTACTCCAATACCAGCTGGTATAGTAAAGTGTTTGAAGGTAGTGAGAGAGAGAGAGATTATTGGGATTACTGCCAAATTTATCATTGATAGTGAAGGTACCGAACTGATGAAACAATGCATTCTAATTTTTATAAGTAGATGCATAAGAAAAGTATGTTCAGTTAGCTGTACTGACTGCTGTGTTGATTTTTAGTACATAGCTTGCTCTGATTAGAAGTTAATACTAACATCTAAATCAGTTTTACTGTACTGTACTTTCAGTGAAAATTATCAGTTATTTTTGAATATTTGGTTTTGGACTAAATATAAACATAAAATCTGTATTTTAATTATCAGGAAAGCTCATCCTAGTAAGTCGTTCTTGGCAGGGTCACTGGCAGGAGTAACGTCTAGCACATGTACATATCCTTTAGACTTAGCACGAGCCAGAATGGCTGTAACACATAAAGAGAGGTAAGCTGAACCACTGTTCAAGTTATTTGTAATTTAAAAATAAGAATTTTAAAACTATCTGCTCATAAAATATCTTGTTACTTACAATCTATATACATGTTTGTATTTGCAACTGGGATTTTTTCGTACAAAGAAATTCTTGAACAAAATAAACGTTATGGTGAACCAATAAAATTAATTTCTTAAATTTACTCAATGTACAGGAAATACAGAACCATGTTACAGCTAAGTTAAGTGTTCAAGAAAAGTTTCTCATATAACTAAACTTTTTGAAACTACAATTACATATTCTATTGCACATAGATTGTAAGGAAGAAAACAACTTTCAGATATATTTATGATTTTGTTTGCTCTAACTTTAGAAGCTTGGTTGTTCGTAAACAAAAGGTACAGACAGTTGAATTTTACAGTTTTTGACATCACCAGATTCAATAACTCACCACTGTTAAGCTTTTTGAACTTGAAATAAATAAGAAGCATATACAAAGACCACAAATTTTCAGCTTTGTTTCATATATTAACAGTTTTTACCTCTGCTGATAGAAAGTTAAATTTCTAATCCCCAAATAAATATCATAACTGTGGGTGGTGGCAAAATTGAAATTTGGATTTTTTTTATTAATTTTTAAACAAATGTTAATAGCACATACATTAAAGCAACATTTTAAACCTGAAAATTTTGTAGTTTTTTTGTTTTTTTTCTGCGGATATTTTTAGAAGAGAAGACATCAGACAGAATTTTAATTTTAAAAATCTTAATGATGTCATTTGAAAGAAACACAAGGTGGAAATTAGGTTTAAGCAACTTGAAAAAATTACGCATTATTTTCTTAATGTTTGATCAAGAAGATTGAAGTACTGAAAGTATTTTGGTGTTATAAAAAAACTATGCCAACTGAAACTTCATAATATACACTCTATAAACCCTTTTTTTGTTTTTCACGTGTTTATGATGCGAACGATTCTTGTACATAATTCTGAATTTCATTAAACAGAAAACTTATGGTTATAAGCTCTAGAGTTATAGGTCATGTTTTTGTTTTAATTTAAAGTGTCCACTTTAATGAAATTATATTCTATGGCCAAAAAAATAATTTTTGAAATGAGGAGTTTAGCTATAAATGTTCAGAACAACGAAAAGTGTTGTTGTTATGTAAAATGTAGCTTTAAGGGATGATAATTACATGGAGTATTATTTCATTGAAATGCTAGTATCCCAGCAGAAAAAAATAAAAATGGTATATTAATAACTATGTAAATTAGAGCTCAGTATTAAAACTGGATAGCTTTTTGTTTTCTACTGATATAAAAATTCAATGAATATCTGAAAAATTATTTTGACCAAAAAGTTTCTTTTATCATTGATTTTGGTTTTATTTATTTTATGTTGTTGAGAGTAGTAAAAATTGATTTGGAATTGTTAAAAATAAATAAGATTACTTGAAACTATTAATGAAGGTAATTGCAGTAGAATTTGATAGAATTTGTAGTAGAATTATATTTATATATATAAATAAATATATTTAAGCTAGCAAACCCATCAGCCACATTTATTTTCTATGCAGGTTTAATGCTTGTTCAACTGATTTGCACTTTTTCAGTTTATTGATCACTGCCCCTATAATGCAAATTTAATTTCTTCAACCAACTTACAATTGGTAACTAGTAGGCTTACTAATTTACATGCTCTAATGTAAATCAATGCCTAATTTGTGGCCTGCCTTCGGGTTATCCCTGTGTTTTTGCAAAACACCCTAGTTCTCTAAGAGTTTGAGTGAAAAGTTTTACCTTTGTGCAAACCTTGGAACCAAGACGATTCATTTGATACCATTTAGAAGTTAGTGCGACCAGAGGCTTAGGAGGAGTTACATGACTTACGAACATTGAATCTTATTATGTAAAATTTAAAAAAATGTTGAGTATTTGTATATCTAGCCACGAGTATAGATAGAACACTAACATGCCTTGTCATAAATGTAGCTAAATCACCATAGTAACATGTAGTTCTGATTCATTCCTCTTTGGTATCACATACATTTTCTCGTGGGAAAGATTGCTAACATGGATAGTGCCCACACACTAAGAGGGATAGCACTAATTTTGTTATGAACTTGGACAATTACAGTGAGTTATATTTTCTGTCGATTCTTGTTATTTACAGATACTACTCATTTTGAACAATCAATTGGTATATCTTGTAGCACATTGATATATTTGTATTTTATCAACAGTTTTGATATTGCTTTACCTTCTAATGTATTTATGCATATCTATCTGACATAACACATCTTTTTTTTTAAGGGTAATTCAATTCATAAGTGCATTGTTTGCATTCTATCATCCAGATATACAAGTCTGATGCAAGTTTTTGTGAAGATTTGGAGAGAAGAAGGGCCAATGACACTGTACAGAGGCTATTCTCCGACAGTTATTGGTGTAATACCTTATGCTGGCACCAGTTTTTTTACGTATGAAACATTGAAAAGGCTACACTTTGGTAAGATAAAATTAAATCAGTACAAAAATCACTTTGCACTTGAAGCAGTCAACACTGACTTCATATATTTATGGACAAATCTCTATTAAAAATATTTAATTAAAAAATCCAACTTTTTTGCATACAAAAGAACTGTAATGTTTACTGAAAGGTTGCCAAATTTTGTGAATATATATACAAAACACATTAAAAGTTATGGTATGGAAACTGACGGTTATTTTGTGGTTAAAAGGTCCGTCACATCGACCTACCCTGTATGGAAAAAGTTAAACTAACTCAGTGTAATCAATTAATGAACAAGATTAAAAATACTTTTCTTCCTCTGAAAATTTTCAAATTTCATTTGCATAACCTATAAAACCTCCTAAATAAATATCAAACATCTACAAGCTCCTTAACCCTTTCACTCTGGCTGGGATATATATTTGTCAGTGCTCCCACCCCCTCACACTGCAATTGGGACAAATGTTACGCATTGTCACTCAAAATTGCTGCGTGTGACATATGGGAGTAAAATTAGTTGGAAAGTATTTCTTGTCACCCAACCTAATGTTGATATATGGTTTCCCTCAATGTTTTCCACTTAGCCCTTCAGTAACCAACAATAGTCCTAAGCGGAATGAATGATAACTGCATGCCGACTGTACCCGCATTACGAGAGTAGTAACCCTAATTACTATGTAAATATGCTTGATGCACTTGACTCGCATGATTTAGAAGATAGTGAAAGTGAGTCAAGTGATGTTCAAATGTGTGATGATGAAGAGGCAATGAGAGGAGAGGATGCTAGCTTTTCATCTAGTGATGATAGTCAAGATGATCAAACTGGATCATATAAAAAATTAGGCTTAACTGTCATCAACAATTGAGAGCGAGAAAAAAAGATTAAGTACTTTATTTCTTGTTTTATATATTTATTCTTTATTTATTATTACAAAAGTAACTAAGATCTAAAAATACAGATATTTTTTAAGTTTTTTAAGACTAGATTAGGTAAAATAAGTAACAAAAGTAATATTATGCTCATAGTAACTCATGGGTAATGTAATTCGTTAGCATAACATGACCCGTGCATTCTCCGAGTGATTTACAACTTATAATGGTGCGGATAGTAGTTACACAGTTCAAAGGGCAATAAAACAATAAAATGTAATTATAACTAGATGTATACTGTTACAAACTTGAGCTACTTAGGATAAACTAATGTAGTTTCATGTTACAATTGGAAGTCATTCTAGAAAGAAAAAGGGTATTTTAGGTTTATTTCAATTTTTTTTTTGGTGGTTACGATGCTGGTCAAATTGACCAATCCTGTTTTGAGGTAGGGTAGAGAAAATGACTTGTAAACTATAAGGATTTAGTGAAAAAACGTTTGAAATGCATTTTAGGAATTACACAAATGAAATTTGAAATTCTTGAGATGAGGAAATATATTTTTAATTTTAACATGAAAATTACTTTGCACAAGGACTATTCAAAACAAATACTCAATATATTCATGGACAAATCTTTATTTTAGTTTATTAAAAATACTTCACTAAAAAATATAATTTTTTGTATGTGAAAGATGTATAATATTAACTGAAAGACTCAAATTTTGTTAAGATATACACACTGTATTGAAAGTTAGAAGTATTAAATCTATAAAGACTTTAAATGAGTACAAAGAAGTCACGTGGTTGGTCAAATTGACCGAGCCCATGTTGAGAGTTAACAGTCGATGACCTGAGAGTTAAAAGTATTCAGGAAACAAAACAAACCTGTTTTATGGCTCCTCTAATAAACAGTTTTCTATAACAATTTTAATAAATTTTAAATATCTGTAGTGCAGGACCTAATACATCTGGTTACATGGGTATTAAAAGAGATGCTATCAATAATTCACTGACCATTGACTTTATTGAATATTTTATGAATGGCTTTCTTTAAATATAAATTATTGTTATTATTATTAGGTTGTTTTCTTGATAGTATACTTTACTTTTTATTTTGAATATTTTTGGGCAGATTTAATACACCCAGAGATTACCATAATTAAACTACTCTAATTGTGTTGTTTTAATAGAAATTTAGGCAGAGTAGACATAGTTTTGAAAATTTTAATGAACTTCAACTGCCAGTTAAAAGAAGAGACGACCTCAGCATAGAAACTAAAACCTCATCTCCTTTTCTTTCAACAAGCAAATGTAGTTCATTAAAATTCACAAACTTACTTGAGCATCATTATATTTTAAGTGTTGAGTTATTACTTTAATGTCTTGACCATTAGCGATAGAGGATATTATGGTTCTTTCATATGTAACTATTAGTTGCCTGTATACACTGTTGAAGAAAAATGATCTATACTGTTCCTTAACTACAGTATTGTAAAAGAAAAAGAGGAACCCATATTTCATAACCTATTACTCTTTTATTATGTAATTTGTGGGGGCCAAAATAATACCCCCCATTTCAAATGGTAATTTCCTCATTTTGCATTATATCTATTCCATTGTTTCACACTGACTAATCATTACCAGAAGGGTTTCAAAGAAAGTTACCAATTGTTTCACACTGACTAATCATTACCAGAAGGGTTTCAAAGAAAGTTACCAATATATAATGTCTTGTTGTTTAGTCTTCTGTATTAAATGTTTCATCTTCATTCACTTTGTGAAATTACATGATTAGTGTCCAAACTGGAAGTCTTACTTTAGTATACTGCCCAGACGAACCAGAAATGTGCACCGAGTCGGTCATGGTTATAGTAAAATGGAGAAGGATGTAATTTTAATTTTTAACTAAAGTTTAGATGTGTGTGATAGAAAAGATAACTGTTTATTTTCAGTAAAAAACTTTATTATCTCAACATTTCACTTTGTGGCTTAAGGAAGTTAATACTTTTTTAATAAACCTACTGGTCATAAAACAATAGTGGAAACCTTCAAACAATAGGTTTTAAAGTCATTGTTACGTTATAAAGTACTCGTTGTTTTTTTTTTATAAGATCAGTATATTCATAGTGATTTATAGTATACGTTTTTCTTTTATCTAAATGCAATCATAGAGTCTTCACAACAGTCAGAACCCCATCCAGCACAAAGAATGATGTTTGGTGCAATAGCAGGACTTCTTGGTCAGACAGCTTCTTATCCTCTAGACATTGTAAGGAGAAGAATGCAAACTGCACAGGTTACGGGGAGAAGTTACCATACTATACTTAGTACAATAACAGTGGTTCTTCGAGAGGAAGGACTTGTTGGTGGGCTTTTTAAAGGACTTAGTATGAACTGGATCAAAGGCCCAGTCTGTGTTGGGATCAGTTTTACAACCTTTGACCTGATGCAAAATTTTTTACGGCACCTTCCAGTCTTTATCAATAGATAATAGTGTTAAAACATAAAATGTTAATTTTTCATTTTTGTTTTGGCAGGAAATGGCTTTTGGCCTACATTCGTGTCTTAGAGGGATTTTTAATTTTTTTTGGTCCAATATGTATTTATCTTGGGGATGTTCTTGTATCTAATTGTTAAATAAGCAACAAATTATACCTGCCATGTAGTCTTTCATACATGTTACAACTGACTATTGTAAATTAAGGAAACAAAAAGATTTAAGTTTTAAAAAAATGGTTATGGTAGGTATTTGTATTACAAAATATTTTGATGGAGCTGGAGGAAATTGGTTAAAAAACGAATACTAAATTCCTCGGTCATTTCTGTAACTGGTGCTACCGATTCATAGATTTTATTTCTATTAACTGTTTCAAATTTTAGCTAAAAAACTGTTGTGGTACGATGAAATCAAAAACAAAAAATGGAAAAACTTGTACCACAAAAAAATGGTTAATGTGAAATAGATGTTGATTATAAACTGTTATTGTGCACTTTTTCTTTTGTCATACTTGAGTTTCAAAAATCATTATTTCTACGAAAGGGATAACTTCTTTGAATCTTGTTTTTGTCACAAGAGTATTTTCATTTCCTTAGTTTCAGGCACGTTTATACATGATTTTTACAAGATTGATCTTTCTCTAACCAGTACAATAAGCTGTTTGTTAAACATTTTATGTGTTGAGATTAACTTCAATGTCTGTGTTGATCTCCGAACTGCTAAACGGAGAAAGAATAAAATGTTGAATAAGCTAATTTATTATGATAAAATTATTCAAATTTAACTTGCTCTGAGTATATCGGCTTCATTTCTCACGTTGTCCTGTCAATTATAAAACGTCTTAAATCACAAATCATCACGTCATCATTTCAGTCCACACATAGCTAACAGTAACGTAGAATATTTTACACACTGCGATAAGTTGACTGTTCATCAAAACACATTTTTTAACATATTTAAGTAATGAAAAATTATCCCTTGATAAACTTTATACAAGTTTTCACAACTTGTGTTATCCGTGAAAATGCATGCTTGTGTGCCTCAACTTATAGTAGCCAAGTATGGGTCTTGAACGTAATTATACCTTTCTTCACGATTACATGTGACATGTGATCCCACATGTATGAAAGTTGCAAGTTATACAACACAGTGTCTTTAGTTGGAGGGGGGAGATTGGTGTGGAAAACCTTCTATTATACTTAGAAGACGTAGATACAATTAAATAAACATCTTGATTAAGATCAAACAGAGCATTAAGAACAGTCTGACCAAACTTAATAATAAGCACGCACTAATTTAATGAATAAAGTCTAAAACCACAGAAAAAATCCAAATCTCGGCAACAGAATAAAAACATAACACAATCACAATTGATCAGAGTTTGTAACTTGATAGTAGGCTGTTGTAGGTGGAGTATAGGTTATACCAGTTAGGAACATTGGTGAGAATATTCTTAACCTTTACAGTGATGGTTCTTTTCCTCCTGTTTAATGCAACTTAAGCTAATAATACTATAATGGGGGGCTGGAATGTCATTTATACATATCATTTCTCGTAGTATGTATTTTCTTTTATTAAAGCACCCACCTTCACATAAATGGCTGCGGACAATGGAAAATGGTTAGGATGTGGGATCTTATGGAGCACCCACACCTGCCTTTTTAATTTAGCAGTTTGAGAGACAGGAGAAAGAAAGATTAGTTCGAAGGACTGCACATAGTTATTGCCATGCAGATTGTTCCTCGTACACCCCCTAAAACTAGGAATACATTTTACAATGTTCCTGCTGTTAATGTTATCCTGTTTCTGCCTTTTATTTTTTCTCTTGGGGGGGGGGGGAGAGTTTTGTTCTTCAAATTAGTATTTATACACGTGTATATATTGTGTAATATGCATTTGTGGTAGAAAAAGTAAGAAGAATTAAAAAAAGGTTACCAAAATAATGAAAAGAAACTTGTTATAAGTACATTTCTGTATAGTTGAACAGTATGGCTAGGGTATGATTTCAGATCAATTAATGTCTTAAAGGCATTTAGTTGTTTCTTATTAGATAAATATAACAATAGGTCCTTAATCTGGCATAAAATGTTTAAGCTTTTTTCTATGTTATAATGAAATTCTGTTTCCATACAAGTGTCCTTATATATGACTAATAGGAATAGCTGATTCAAACAAACGGTATGTTACAACTAATTACATTAACAAACGTTATGATAATATATATCGCTAACGACCAGAAGCCAGTTTTAATCCTGTCCCTTGGTGGGTTAGTGGTAGGTTTATAGATTTACATTTTTAAAGTTTGGTGTTCAGTTCCTTGCAGTGAACAGAATGTAGATAGCTTATTGCATAGCTTTGCCATAAAAACAGTCAGTCTTTATATTATTAAAAGATAGTAACATGCTACCAACATAGACTAAAATATAAGTGACTCGGAAAAGGAGGCTTTGAATCCCCGTCACACGAAACGTGCTCGCCCTTTCAGCAGTGGGGGCATTATAATGTGACAGTCAATCCCACTTTTCATTGGTAAAAGAGTAGCGTAACAGTTGGTGGTGGGTGATAATAAGTTTTTAACCAGGTAACTGTTAAAGAGAGATTAGTATTAGCTAAGAGAAATATCAAATCCACCTGTAGCAGATTTCATTTCTACGTTACAGGTGAGTAGCAAGCATTACAGAATGGGGGAGGTTTTTTTATTTACAAAACTAATATGGACCTTTTTATTTACATAAAGAACATAAATAGCTTGCATAAAAAATCAAACACTTGTTAAAAATAAGAGATAGTGTACCTTTAAAATACGAGTCATTTGATGACCCACTTTTTTCAGCTACACCCTTGCAGTATGTTGTATAGAAGGTTATGCTATATTTAAACTATAAGTTACATCACTGTATAGTACATCAGGAGATAGCTTTACATTTTATCTTTTTTTCTGGATAGAGCAACATGTAACTGGTAGATGATGTTTGGAAATGAAAGTTTTATTCAGTATTAACGCTGAATCGATAATATTCAATATTATGTGTCTGTAAAGCTAAAACTGTTTTTCTAATATTCTTGTTATTTACTGAAACCAAATAATTTTATTCTTTGTCATATTTTTAGACTATATAAGGTTATGCATTTGTGTAAGAAAACTTCAAAAAAGAAGCATTATAGTTATAAGCTAGTTATTGTCTGTTGATAAAATTTATTTTTGTTGGTATTCATGATTTTTACATACTTGAGGATCCTATCTGTAAAAACCAGTAATGCATGGTAATGAAATCAAATCAAGTGACTTTATAGGCATGATCTTTATATCTGCTTCAATTGATGCATTGTGTCACATTACAGAATTGTTTTTACTGTAGAACAGTATTTTTAAACGTTTGTCATCCATGCCCCTCCTTTAATAAATATGGTTTCTTGTGTCCCCCCCTCTTTTTCTTTTGTAAGTAAGGGAAAGAGCGAGTTAAGTGATGATATATTATTCACAATTACGAGTTAAGTTGCTACGTGTCGTACTAATTACTTATTTTCATCTATAAAAATATATTAAAATGCTTAACTGATACTACCTTAATCACCTGTGCCCCACCCCCAAGATATAATTTGCACCCCACCTCTTGGGAGGGCACAACCCACACTTTAGAAAATGCTTCAGTAGAACATAGATTAAAGTGGTTTCATGATAAAGAGGACGTATACCAGTTTTCTGTTTATAATTGAATTAACAATCATTGGTAGTAGGTAATGTTGTTAAAAGTGATCTAGTCATGAAGACACTGCATTGTTGAATATTGAATTGAACTTTATTTAATTCTTTATAGTGTTAACTTTTCCTTAAAATCTGACGGAAATTTGTTTTTTGACTCGTTAACTAATTCTGCAACCAACAAGTTGTTTTCGAAAGAAGAGTTGGTAATCAGCTTGTAGTAGGTTTGTTTAGACATTGCAGACTTAAATGTTTTACACTCACTGAGTTCTAAATGTTTGTAACACTGGTTTTGTTCTGATAATTCCATCAACCTTTTAACGTGGGTTTTCGTTCCAAAGTGTGAAAACAAACTTTTTAGTTTGGTAAAAGTCAATTCAGAGCTGTCTACACTGACAGCTTTAAGCAAGCGTATCAGAACTTCTACCGTATAGTATAATTTAATCTCGAACAGAAGAGATAATGATATTTATTCAATAAATACTGAAACGAGCCTGTGTGAATGGGTCTTGAGCAATTTTTTTTTGTTGTTTATGTACAGCAGCTCCATCTGTAATGTGATAAATCAAATTTGTTCATTCTAATTCAGATTGTTTCTACTCACCAATTTATAATTCATTCAAGAAGTAATATCATTGTGAATTTGCAAATGTATAGAAAAACATTTCATAGTTTTAATCATTTCAACTGCTTGGGAGTTTGAACCACAGATGACCTTATAGTTGTAATCCCCTTTAAGTTTTCATGAATTTCAACTCCAACAAAAGTATGTAGTTTCAATTTTTTTTTCTTCTTAAAAGTCTACATAAATCTCAGAGTAACAGGCACCAAATTATTTGTCTTGTATGTTACTATGAACCCTTTATTATGATTCTAGGTTAATAGTCTCTGACATTCTTCTATTCTTTGTTGTATTGTTTTTTGAACGTCCAAAACTGAATACTCTGATTTCAGTTGTTAATGTTCGTTTGAAGTTAATACTTTCTTTAAAAACAGTTGTGAGTTTTTCATGTACAAGCTTAGGTTCCTTAGTGCCACGTTTTACCAAATATACATATATGCCTCGTGTAGCTTTATCACCCTTTATTAGGTTTATTTAAAATTTCAGGGTAGTTCAATAGATTTTTATGTAAATTACATTTTTTTTTTCACTTTTAATGATGAGATTTCGGAGAAGAACATTTCATTTGAACAAGTAACAAAGCAATTAACTTATATTTACTGAGAAACCTCATGACTGTATAACTGAAATTCAAGGACCATATATGACAGTTACATATCTACTTCAACTAAAATGTACGGTTTCTGGAAGTTTGAAGTCTTTATAGATGATTATTAAAAGCTTCCTGTTTGATACTTGACATTAGACAAGGGCATTACAGAAACAATATGAAGTAGGTTGTTAAATCTGGGAATTCTATGATATAAGAGTATTTTAGAATTAGTCGTTAAGAAAGGTTTTATGAACTTGTACACCTTGTTTTGTTTGCTAAAACTAATTTTTCAGTTGTTTCATTTAATTGATCTACTTAACTGAAAGAAAATGTATAGAGGAAATTATTTCTTTACAGTTTTTGTTTCTTTGTTGTACTATTTTATTAGTTTTAGAAATTGAGTTATAAATATTAAAGCACGGTTATCTCTAGATATCTTGGTCAGTAAAGTATAAAGTGATAATATCTATTAGGATTGTACTATACAGGATAAGCTATTACTTTATGAACTAGGTTATAGAAAAACAACCAAAACGAAAGCTATGTAAAAAAAGGAACTAACAAGTGTATGCTATATTAATGTATTATAGTTTCCAGTCCTCTACACAATGGTTATAACTGAGCTAGTTTAAGTATCGGCTCATCAATACTGGAAATAATCAAATACATTTTGTTACAAACTGTACTTCTACAGAATGAAATACCAATGGTGGAATAAGTCACTACATTGTAATTATTGTATCCATAGGTCTTGCACTAAATGTTTATTGTTTTTGATAGAAATACCAAATAACCCATAGGCTTTAAGATTCAAGTTTTACTTAATGTTTCCATACTTAGTGATGTATAATATAGTTGATTCTTTTGAAAATAACATTGAAAAAAATTTGAATTTATAGAGTACCTGATTTAGGGAAGTTGTTATAAATTTCATTGAGAGCCAGTTTTTTTTAGAAATAAATAACTAATTTTCACAGTGCATTACAGATGAATGTTATTTACTTGTTTAAAAAATGTTTTTGGTATTGTCACTATACAGATATTGTGGTGCTGAAGAGTAGAATGTTTGTATCATTCTGTCTAGAAAAACCTGCTAATAAAAATGTGTTTTAAGTAGCAATAGCATATTTTGATTTACATCTTATTGCTGTCTTAAAAATCATTACAAACACATAATAAAGAACGTTTTAAAAGCAAAGTTTTGACATATATGAACAATATTTTTTTATAAAGTAATAACCCAGTTAAAAAATTAAAATTACAAATTTTCATAAGTTGTTTAACAGAATTGAAACATTAAAAATATATCGATAATTAAGGACATAAATCTTTATTTTCCAACAACAGCAATAAAAAAAAATACTGAGACCGAACTTCGCAAATGAGCAGATTTTGTTGATAGTTGTAATGCCAATTCGTTCTTCCAACCCTATTGTTGAGAATTGAGGAATGATAACTTTACCTTTAATCTCAACTTAAAACTTTTTTCTTGTAAATACAAAAATGTTGAAAAAATTTCGAACCTATATATAAACAACATCATCATCCATGGTCAGGATGACGTAATTATTAACAAGGTACACAAAGCACACTTATTCATGAAAGAAAGTCCTACAGAAAACTTGTAACTTTGTTTTTAAATTCACGCACTTTAGCTTGAAGATGCTAGGATTAGGCCTAATTAAAGGAGTAAAATGTAAACAGTAGTTTAGAGCTGAAGAATATTGTATATGCATTCAATTTTCCGTTGTGAAATTGGACAAATAGGGGAGTATAGCAACGAACGATGCAACATGAAAATCTAAGTTAATAGTGAATTATAATTGAAGCTTAACAACAGTTGCGAACATACAGCTACTAAGGTAATTTATCCATTCTATGAATAACCAACCATCCCTACTTTTTTTCTGTTTATTTGCTCAGTTTTTTTATATTTCCATGGAATGAACACAACATCTATAAACTTTCAGTGGCTATAACTTACAATAATTAAAACCATAATCACAAATTGATAAAATGTAATCCTTACTTTGGCCTACAGATAAGTGTATAAAGCTGCCAAAATTCCTTATTGTTTTTACTCTTGTTTGTTAACTTTTCATGTTATACCTGTATAAAGTATGTACTTTACCTTTAGAAATTGTCGTGTGTCTATCCATCGATACGTAGCCCAATCCGTTAGGTTGAATTGGATTGAAAAAATATTTTTTGAATTGTTATACCGGAAATGTTAGCGACCTTTTTAACGTATTGTTGGTATATATATACGCATAATATCTCGTAACCAATACTTTGAATAGTCGGTTTTTCGCTTAGGAATACGATAGGGTGGTTTTTCGGCACGTGAATTATTTGGAATCCTCATCGATCCCTATTATTAAGTACTATCGTACTTAAAATAACATACAAGCTCAAACTTCTCACTAATCTCTAGATGAAATCAATAATCGTTGAGCTACGAGTGGAATACTTGATGGTAATTAGATTGTTTCAAATTGATGAAATTTGTTAGAGTATATTTAGTTTATTAAAATTACTTCAAGATATTTTAAACTTCATCCAGTTAATTATGGTGTGACGCCGCCTATTGGTTATTAATAAACAGCAATACAGTGTATATGTTCCCACTTTCATGATCACAAATTTATAGAATTTTTCCTACGTTTTCAACATTAGCAGATATATTTTCAATTTATTTCTTTTCGGGCAGTGGAGTAAAACTATCCTCATTAGGCCTAAGAAACGTGAAGCAAGTTATGTTTAAATAACGATATCTTTTATCGCATTCTTCTTCGTCAGCTTATATAATAATTCCACATCAAAGTGTAAAAACATTTTTAAAATTGGAGAACTTAAATGGACTACCGTATTTTTCGGTGTATAAAACGCACTTTTGTACCCCAAAATTTGCTTGCTTCCTATACACCGAAGGTATGAATAATATACATGTATATATACGATATACACAAGCCATGTGTAAATATATTTAAACAGGCATGCATAGTTTAGTTCAATTGAATGTGTTATTTATAACAATAATAGTTTTTTTCTTTTTTTAAAAACATAACTATTTATAATGCTCCCTAAATAAAAATATAGATAAATTACAGTGAAAGCAATGAAGATTTTGGTTTTGAACCAAACTAAATAACAGTAAACCTTTTTTTTTTATTTACAGCATTTTCTTATTTTGACGTTTTGAGCTCTTTTGTGTTTAGAACAATATATACTAATTTTTAAAGTATCAAATTTAATTTTTGTTCAATAAAAATATTTCAAATGCGACTGTAGCTTTTTTCCCCAAAACTTTGTTTTCAAAATAAGGGTGCGTCTTATATACCGGTGCGTGTTGATATTCTGAAAAATACGGTAAGTAAGATATGTCTGACGATAAATAGCAGACTTCAATCGTAGTTGTCATTATATTCGTTGGCTTAGTGGTTTAACATCATGGCGGTTTTCTCTTTTCATTATTGCAAAGGCCTCATGATTTTGTCGAATGAATATTGCCTTCTATCAGTATTAATCGTTTGTAATTCTAATTAAAATAAGGAATAGATTTAGGGTTAAAATATTTTAATGGTATCTGCGTGTACAAAACAGAGAATTTAAAATATTTCTCTTATATAGAAGAATAAGAGATAAAATCAATCTTGTTTTCATTTAGTATTGGGTTGAATAATAATTTCTTTGTAAAACAGTCGTGTGTTTTTACAAGAAAATTTACAGAGCTTATTGAGTAAATTACATATGCACGCTCTGAACTTATAGGCACTAAGTATCTCTTTAATAAAATAGTAGGTTGTTTCATGAGGTGTTCTTGAACATATTGTTACGACAGCGGGGGTCACGTGACGCTAGTAACACGTCACATTCTCGAACGTTCACGTCCCTTCCTGAAGCCTCGAGAGGTTACTAGATATGCGGTATTCTTGTATATATAAGACCGGTAAGAAGTGACGGCAACAATCTAAGGTAATTGAACTGCAGACAGAGATAGAGACGTACTG